CCCAAAAAAAAAAAGGTAGGGCCCCCTTTAAAAAAAAAAAAAAAAAAAAAAAAAAAAAAAAAAAAAAAAAAAAAAGAGGGTACGAGCCTGCTCAAAGTATGCATTACGTAGGCGTGCATGGTCACGAGCTTCCTCCCTTAGCTCAGAATACATATTTGCTGTCATCTCAACATTGTTAAAGCAGATATAAATCTGGAAGGAATCATTCCACATCTAAAGGCATATAAACACAAGTAATTTGGTTGACCAAGGAATATTACCAACAGCATCTCCAGTTTCAAGCCAAACAGGAGCAGCCCGAGCAGAGCCACGTGATTGCGCCCGGTCATTGTAGGTGCCTCTTCCGTGCCCACTGCTGTAAGTACTTGTCAAAGCATGAGAACTTCTACTTGAGCCAATAGCAGCATCTGCAGAACTATTCTGCTCATACTTCCATACACCAGAATCCTGAGCAGCCAATTTCCTGACTGCTGAAGCAAAATCTATACCACCTCTAGATGGAACGGAAGAGCTCGACTTGAATAAAAGCAGGTTTTCCTTGTCAGAAGAACGATAAGGATTGCCACTTTGCTGTAGTTCATCTACAGCATATTTTCGAGGACCATTCTGACCATCTGTTGGAGTAAGTGCGGGAAAGTCCATTGCACTAAGATTAGGTGCAGACAGGGTCTTTGAGCTCAGATTTTGATTGAAACCGCTATCAACTTGAAGCTACAATTCAAAGAAAGGTTACTGTCACATATACCCCACATGCAGAGTTAATTCTTTGAGATATTGAACAATAAAATAAAATAATTGCAACATAGTATTATCAGAAAATAAACAAATAAAAAAATTTCCCACAAATACCACTGTCCGACCATAACCGTAAAAAACAGAGACCAAAAATAATAGAAAAGACAATCACTATTAGCACCACAAAGTGAAAGAAGGATGTGACCCGCATAAAATCCCTAAACCCCCCATACCATGCCACAATGATTAAGGAACCGAGTGATAGACAAAAGACTGCAATGGAGTCAGCTCAAAGCTCTTTGTTGAGCCAGATCTTCCCTGCCAAAATTAGGCATGAGAGCTAGTGCTCTCCATAGTTAGATTAGAATCAAGCCAAGCCAAGGATTTAGCAACAATGCGTCCATGTCCGTTGGTGTGTGCTTGTGTGAAAATGAAGAAACGAAAAACAGGAAAGACAGGGCTCTAGTAACTTAAGTCGTCGTGATAAAAAAATTATTTATCTTTAAAAGACGGTCATAAAAATCAAGACAGACACAAGTGCAGCTCAGATTTACTAAAGCAAAAAAGCCTAAAACATTTACAGCAACTAAGCATACCTCCAACTGGATGAGCATTTCAATAGTCAGATTTAGGTCACATGCATTGGCAAAATAAACCTCTGCAAGGCTTTCAGCAGCAAATCCAGGGAACTGTGAAGCCAAAAATTCAAGAGGATTAATATCAGTATCTTCAACCATTGCATGTTCACCCAACATATCATTCATAAACCCATGCCGAGAAATGCCATCATAAGGAAGCCCCTCCTGACCATTACTAACAAGCTGATTGCTATTCACAATCTGTTTATCCCAAGGCTGAGTTGACATATGCAGGAAATTGCCAGAAGATAAATCTTCACCATAAGTCGAACCAGAGATTCTTAACTTTTCAGAAAAGCTATTACCATTAACGCGTGCCTCGTTTAACAAATAACCACTCCCTGTAGAAGGAGAAAACCTTATTGATTCACTATCATCGTGCAAGGATAAGCCCGCCAAAGAGAGATTTCCCAGGGCTTGAGATTCATCTTCTCCCATGACCTTGAAGTCAGGGGTAATATCATCAGGGAGCTGACGGCGCCAGTACTGGTGGGCCTCTTCATCGGAATTATTCGAGACAGACGACTCTGATCGATCTAGCACTGCTTTTCCTAAAGTTCCAGAAGAAGAAAATATAGATGCCGCGTTGGCTGCACTGGTGCTTCCGGATGGCGATGTTCGGAGGGCAGAAGGAATAAACTCTGCTGCATTAGGATTTAGTCTTGTTAGCTTGCTTGCCGTGCTTAGCTTTGCCTCAGTCGTACAGGCTCCTTTCTTGGATAAGCTCATTATTTACTGAAATAAAAACAAAAATACTGATGCGGGGTGATAAAAATAACTCAAATTCCGGTAAAGCTTCAACCAAACCCTGCAAAACAGACGATGAAAGTTAGTCCAGTGGCCAAAAAGTTTTCCTTTTAAAAAAACTATATGCAAATTGGTCAATTATTTTGCCGCAAATGGATTCAACACCGTGTGGCACATATGTCAAACAGCTATCTTTATAGAATCCTTGGTGAACATATTGAGAATATACTAGCTTTTGAACACGGGAAATTGGAAAAGGACAAATTTGGAAGAAACAAATTCCCTCCAAGTGCAGGAAACAAATTAAACACAAATATTTACTATGTAAGTCCCAAGATTGTAGAAATATTATAAGCCAAACTCAAAAAAAAAAAAAAAAAAGCAGCCTTGAAAAAACTTCTTTACCCAATTTTGTCACAATTAGGCCGGAAAAAATAGGGCTTCAAACTCAAATAATTTATTGATTAAAATCCCAACAGTAACAAAAATAGGTCAAGAAAAAAGAAAAGATTTTCAATGAACAACGGCAACCCTAATTATCCTGTTCTAAAACACAATCAAATAAAAACAACCGCAATAAATACACAATTGAGTAAAAGCAAAGCGAGTATTAACCAAAACCGCTAGCCAGCATAATTCAAACAAACCGAAATCAATAGATCTCGATTTTTCGACTCCAATTTGACAACTAACATTAAAAAAAGCCCCAAAACCACAAAATTCCGTGGAGAATCTGAAAGATCCGGTGGGGAATATGAAATTAGGCATACCTTTGCGAACCAAATCGCATGGATCCATGGACTGAGATGGAGCTAAAATCCGACGAGTCGGAGAAGAGAGAGAAAGGAAGATAGAGACTCAAAAATGGGGCTTTTATTGGGTTTCGAGCTATAAACTCTCTCCAGTATTATCTTGTGCTTTCAAGGGCTTCCCTTTCCCACTCTCTCTCTCTCTCTCTTCTCTTTCCTCTCTCTCTCTCTCTCTCCTCTTTCTTTTGTCTGAAACCCTCTTTTGGCTAATACCACCACCACCACCACAAAAATATAAAAGACAGCCAACCCTTCGCCACTCGATTTGACCTCTCTCTCTCTCTCACTCTCTCTCTATCTCTATCCCTCTCTCTTTCTCTCTCCTCGCTTCTCCATCTAAAGCTAAACTCTAGATCCTCTGTTTCTCTTGACCCTAAATTATACAATATAGTTAATAAATTAATTAATTAATTTACCTAATCATACCCTTGGGATTTGTGAAATTAAAGTGTGCACCTGTGCACGACTTTTTTCGCCTAATACGATAAATTAATTTTTTTAAGAAAACAAAAATATATATTTAATTTAATATTTGCCACTAATAGGAGGTTTTTTTTTGTTGTCCTTTCTTCTTTAAAACCCATGTCATGAGAAACAATCTAAAGTCAGTTAAACTATGATGAAGGCCTCGTTGATTTTGATATGTTTATTTCACTTATTTAAATTTAAAATTTAAGTTTTATTATTATAAAAAATTTTAAAAATAGTTATATTTAATTTTTTTATTACAGTAAAAATTTTCATATAAAGTAATATTTTAACTCGAATTAAAAATTTAAATTAACAAATTAAATAGGCTTAAAATTCATTCAAATTTTTAATTTTAATTTTATTACAGTTAAAAACTCTTATAAAAAGTCAGATCTAATTTTTTTCTATTACAGTTAAAAATCTCAATAAAATCACGTTTCTCGAAAACTGCCACTAATAGGGTTTTTTCCCCTTTCTTCTTTGAAAAAACAAAACCATACCATGAGCAACAATTTAAAGTCAGTTAAACTATGATTAAGTTTGTTCTCTTGAAAAAATATAAAATAAAACTATGATTAGGTTAACAGTATTTTCCCACTTTCTACATGCGGGTAAAGAAGTACCATTTATTATTATCAAAAGCTTCTGTCTTAAATTTCAATTGGATATTCATCTGTTAATTTTGATGTCCTCGTTTTGTTTGTTGTCTCTTTTCTTCCCCCTGAATGACATCAGTAACCACAATGATTTTTACTTCTGCAAACAAAACAACAAAAAAGTAATAATAATCAAATATATATTCACGTTTTTCCACTTTCCATATGAGATAAACAAAAAAGTAATAATAATCAAATATATATTCACGTTTTTTCACTTTCCATATGAGATAAAGTTAGCTTTTGAATGTGAATGTATGTGTCATTCATTTTACTAATTTAAATTTAAAATTTAAATTTTATTATAATAAAAAAATTTTAAAAAAAATTATATTTAATTTTTTTACTACAGTAAAAAAAATTTATATAAAATTACATCTCAACTCAAATTATAAACTCAAATAAATGAGTTAAACAAGCCCTAAGTACATTATGTAGAAGTAATCTTTAAATAATTAGTTGATAATATTATACCAACAAAAATAAAAGATTTAACATCTTTCACTTGATAACAGATATTTATTCAGGCTATCTTTGGTTTATGAATTTATTTACAGGCTATCATTGGTTCATGAATTCAAATTCATGGTTTTGATCATATTACAATGTTTTTTCTCACAGAATATTTGACTTTAAAAAGTTCTCTCTAATAAGTTCTCTCACAAAATTTAAATGCAGAATCAAAATTTCTTAGCTTTGTAATTACTCCCTCTCTATAGAAAATTGATGAACTTACTCGAAACTAAATTATTACTCTTGATTAATACTTTATTGACTATGTAGTTATTTGACTAAAAAATATGTTAATCAAGAATAAGAGATAAAAATCCGTACTCATGCACTCTAAAGGGTATTTGTCTCCTTTTCTTATTACTCTATAAAATTTGACATCTCTGATTTTTGAGAGAATGTAGTAAATAGTAGGGCCGGTAATATGGGTCACAACACGACAATACGACTTGAAAACGATACGAATTTCGTGGGTCAAGGTTGAGAAAAAAGAGATTCGAATCATAACTGTGTCGACCTGAAATTGACACGAAAAATACATGTCAATTTCAGGTTGGACCCGCCTAACCCGAACACGACACGAAACTCGTAAAAAACTAAAAAATACATATATTTTTCATTACATATTTTTTATTTTATTATGAACTTGTGATATCATGATATGCATACTCAAAATCTTATACTATTATTTACTTAATTTCAATGGAAGTTATTGTATTTTTTGTGTGTTATGAATTTTAAGTTGTTTCTAATATGTAAAAAACTAAATAAAAGTATACAATTTTCGTGTCAATTTCGGGTTGGGTCATTTTCGTGTCGTGTCTTGTCAACCCGTAAACTGGTCGTGTCATGTTCGTGTTGCGGTTTTTAAAAATTTCGCGTCACGGGTCATGTTCGAGTTGACTGCAAATTTAGAAAGAAACGATCAAAAAACAACACGAACACGACACGTGACACGAATTACCACCCCTAATAAATAGTAAATTTTTGAAAGTAAATTAAGCAAATAACAAATTTTGAAACTATTTAAAGTAAATAACAGTTTACCTAGTAAATGAATCATTTACTACGTAAATGGTTCATTCACGACTAGTAAAAATATTTTTTTCACGTAAGTTTTCTTTTTACGACTAGTATATTGATTTTTTTCATGAAAATAAAGACTTTTTAAGATTTTTTACCACGTAAGTTATTTTTTACTAGTCGATAAATGAATCATCTATCACGTAAATTATTCATTTACTATGTAAACCATTATTTACTTCAAATTGTTTTAAAAGCTACTATTTACTTAAGTTAGTTTTAAAAATATGCTATTTACCACCATTTGTTTCTCCATAAATCAATTTTGGGTAATTTGCACAAATTATCCCAAACCTTTTTAGAATGTGAGAGTTTAGTCCCCAACTTTTTTTTTTGACAAAATGACCCTCAACCTATTTAAAAAGGTACAATCTCCTCCTTTCTGTCAATTGTCGTCCAAAAGATAATGGTACAGTGCACATAAGAACCCACGTAGGCCATATTGTTGCTAGAAAGATGAAATTACACTAAAATAACTCCCATCGCCCTACATCTCACCCATCAAATTCTTTCAAAACTATGAATCCATGCTCAACAAGTTCAAAATTTTCATCTACAAGCCAAATGCGGCCTTCCCCTACGAATCTCCATCTGAGTCGCTCTTCTACACCTTTCTCCGGAGCAGTCCCTTCGCCACTGAAGACGGCGAACAAGCTCACCTCTACTTTGTCCCCTTATCCTCCAATGTTCGTATCAACTCCCTCTCACGCTTCGTTAGGGAGATCCAGAGGGCCTTACCGTATTGGAACCGCATCCTCAGCGTAGACCACGTCTTCATCTCCTACCGCGGCAACACCACTGATGGCGACCGGAACGTCCTCGAGCTGAGGAAGAACGCAATCCAGATCTCCTGCTTTCCCGCTCCCGTCGGCAAGTTCATTCCTCACAAAGATGTTTCCCTGCCTGCGGTCTCCACCTTCAGCGTTGACATGTCGCTCGAGCCGAAGAACGCATCAGTGAGATTCCTCAGCTACCTCCGGCCTGATCAGAGCAGCGGAGCGAACGAGTCGGCCCTGGTGAATTAGTTGATTGGCGATCCAGGCTTTCTGATCGATTCTAGGGCGCCATTCAAGAAGGCGACCTATGAGGAGAGATTGCCGATCAATAAGTTCTGCTTGTTCGAGTATGGTGCCGACGTGTCCAGAATCGGCCAATTAAGGGCATTTTCGTCTTTCTAGCAACAACATGGCTACATGGGTTCTCACATGCACTGTACCGTTACTTTTTGGATGACAATTGATGAAAATGATGAGATTGTACCTTTTTAAATAGGTAGGGGATTGTTTTGTCAAAGAAAATATTAGAGACCAAACTGTCACATTTTAAAAACGTCGGAGACCATTCATTAGTTTTTTTTTTTTATATATTTGGGCCTCACGGGCAATGTGGCCGAGGTCTGACTCAACTGTTCAACTGGGTCACTCTTTGGATTTCACAAGTAGAACCTGTAAACCCAACATATGTTGTACCAAAAACAACAACGATACAAGATTTTCATGTGTCACATCTAATTTGCAAAAAAAAAAAAAAATTGCAAAAATACGGCAAAAATTTTCAATGGTGTTACCCCCATAGAGCAATGAAAGGTTGTTCATGTGTCACATCTAATTAACAGCAAATTAAAGTTATCAAAACTATACAAAATAATAACTAGCGTGAATGGCAAAGAGACTGAAAAGTGGCCTGAACGTTATTTAGGATCTTGTTTCATCAAATCTACAAAAAGCTGTAAAAAAAATAATGACCAGCAATTGCATCTAGGGATGAAAACATTTAGGACGCATTTATAATTTTAATTCTGTTATAGTATTTTTTTCTCATAACAAGTTTTAAATTTAAATATTATAATTAAAAATTACTAATTTAAATGTAAAAACCGAACGAGTCTTTACATTGCAGTATCTCATTTTTCATTTTTTTTTTTGGGGAAACAAAAACAACTTCGCACTAGCCTAAAACCAAAACAGAAATAGAGTGGGAATTTTCCTCAAGCCAGAAACGATCATTAATGGAAGACATTACAAATTATGCAAGTGGGTTGACTGCCATAGCAACAAGGAAGCATCCGCTACCACCTAAGAAAGCACACAAATGAGATATGACAAAAACAATGGTGTTCGCAAGAGGAAAACTATTTAGAGTAGACTTTGTAGCACTAATAGCCTCAGGGGAATCTCTCTCTCTCTGTTTTTTTTTTTTTTTTTTTTTTTTTTTTTTTTTTTTTTTTTGTAAAAAGTTGGGAAGAGAATGACTAGCGTTAGCATATTATTTTTTTGGGTGTTACTAGCCCCAAGCATCGAATGCAGTAGCGCCCTTTAAATCGAATATTAGGTTGGCAATAGTAAATTTTCACATTCAAATTAAGGACCATCTAACACTCAAAATTTTGACCACGTACACACCATGATAATCTATTATTGCTAAGTTACCCACTCGACATTGAGAAAGTCAATTGCCACCTAATAAGGTTTAAGAGCATCTCCAATACAATGATATGATTACTGTGTCAATGGTAAATTTGGCTAGTATTGAAACTTTGGACGGGCCACCCGCGACCGCCTGAAAAAAATGAACTTGTGCCCGTTGCCCGAGCCCGCTTGCCTGAAAAATTCAGGTTGCCCGCTCGAGCCCGACCTCCACCTTGAACGAGCTTCGGGCAGGTCTTGGTTGCCCGAAGCCCGGTCATGCTGCCCGAATATTTAATATATATATATTTTTTTATATATATGTTTTATTTTTTATAATATTGTGTATCTATATTATATATAATATTGTTTATTAATTGTATTTGTATATAAATAATTATTAAGTTATTTATTGTAAAAATTATATAAAAACTATAATCTAGATTAAAATCAACACACATTATTAAAACAAATACTAATAAAAAATTTTTAGACGGGCTTTAGGCAATGGGTTTTCCACGGCTGTGGGCTTATTTTTTTGCTTTATTTTTGGGCTGCCCGAGCCCGGCCTAGAACTTGGACAGGTGGACTTAGGGCCCTGCCCACCGAGCCCAAAAATTTTCGGGCTTCAGGCAGGCCCGCCACCCATTCTTCCAGCACTAAATTTGGCATTTAAGTGTAAACGCTTCGTAATGAGTGTCGATTGTTGTACTAAATTTGTAGTATGTTATACTTTGTGACAAATTTATCACCAAATATAACATATAGCAAATTTGACATTTAATTACTATTAGCTGATGTATTTACTTTTTCATTTATCATTACAATTTTGCATTTCAAATTATTTAAAAATAAAAGATTAGTTTTACAACTTCCAAAAACTTAATGATTATATTAAAAAATAAATTTCACATTTAAAATAGTATTATGTATTGGAGCACAAATAAAAATAACATGTTAAATATACCATTATCACACTTTTTAATATAAAATATACAATTAATATTAACTTTTACATTGTAGATGGTCTAACGCCAACATCCAAATTTAACATTTAATTTTTATTGGTTGATATATTTACTTTTTCATTTATCATTACAATTTTGCATTTCAAATTATTTAAAAATAAAAGATTAGTTTTACAACTTCTAAAACTTAATGATTATATTACACATTAAATTTTACATTTGAAATAGTATTATGTATTAGAACGTAAATAAAAATAACATGTTAAATATACCATTATCACACTTTTTAATATAAAATATACAATTAATATTAACTTTTACATTGTAGATGGTCTAACGCCAACATCCAAATTTAACATTTAATTTTTATTGGTTGATATATTTACTTTTTCATTTATCATTACAATTTTGCATTTCAAATTATTTAAAAATAAAAGATTAGTTTTACAACTTCTAAAACTTAATGATTATATTACACATTAAATTTTACATTTGAAATAGTATTATGTATTAGAACGTAAATAAAAATAACATATTAAATATATTATTATTACATTTTTTAATATAAAATATACAATTAATATTAATTTTTATATTGTAGATGGTCTAACGTCTAAATTTTAACGTTTAATTGCTATGGGTTGATATGACCATGGGTCACAATCCACATAACCACTCTGCCTTTGCGGGTTGCTATAGCCCGCACGACTCTACCTCATTTGTGTCGTTTACCTACAAAACCATGGTCGTGGATCATGAGCCACATGACCCCTCACCTTTTTATGAGCATGGGTCGTCAAAGTCAAGAGGGCCCGTACGGTTCGCTAATTCGAGTTAAAATGTAATGTTGTGTGAAAGCTTTTTACTGTAGCAAAAAAGTTAGATGTGACTGTTTCTGAGAGCTTTTTACTATAGCAAAACTCAAATTTTAAACTCGAATATGCGAAAAAAATGGGGCCAAAGAATACCCCTTTAATTTCTTTGTTTATTTTGAATTTCAAATTTTTATTCTTTTTATGCATCGAAATTGGTAATTATGTCTTTTGCAATACAAAGAAAGTATGGAGCTGTTCGGCAGTTGAGTTTTTAAGTCAAAAACTCAAAAAAAAAAAAAAACAACACGAGTTACAATTTTATTTAAATTCACATTCTTTTAAGTTTGAACTCGAGTTTGGGACTAAAACTCGAGTTTAAAGTTTCCCCTTCAACTCGAGTTCAGAAACTCGAACTCAAATTATTGAATAGTATTTTTTCTATTCTTAAAAATGCTATAAGTTTTTCGTTTTAATTCTGATTGAGATGATTTTTTTCTATGCGTTGACAACAAAAAGATGATTAAAACCCCACCCATATACCCTATTAAAATTTTTCATCAGCATTGAGTTTTTATTAAAATACTATCTAAATAAAAATTCAAGTTTTGACTCACTCAAACACAGACTCAAAAAGATTCTTATCTCAAACTATAACTCAAATGTACACAACCAAACACAAACTCAAGTTACAACTTCAACTCAAGTTATAACTCAACTCAAAATCTACACTCAAGTCACCTAACTCATAAACGGTAAAAGAATAAGCCCTATATTATTTGACATGGTTTTGTATAGGTATGTTATTTTTATTATTTTAATAATTGGGTGTTATCACGTTATTTTATTTTATTTTTATTAATTAAATAATAATTATTTATTTTTAAATGAATTGACGTAAATAATATTTTTTTTACCATTTTAAGTGTTGTTTCTCATTTTTTCCTCACACACACACTAGACTTTAACCATTTAAAATAAGGCTATACAAATTATTTAAAAAAAATAGAGAGAAGAAAGAAAAATAAAAGACACAAAAGAAATGAAGACAAAAGCGGGAAAAGACTTGAAGCAAAAGATGGACAAAAAAATTATAATTTATTTTATTGTGTTTTAAATTAATTTTATTTTGTTTTATTTAGTGTGTTTTTTGTTTAATTTAGTGTGGTTTTGTTTTATTTTAGTCTATTTTTGTGTAATTATTTTTTATTCCAATTATTTATAGTATTTTTATCTGAGTAGCTTTAAAAATTTTAGAGCAATATGGTATTAATATGAACAAAATTGGACCACAAATCAACACCCTTTTTTTTCTTTTTTCAGTATTTGTTTTGTTTTAGTGTTAAACACGTACGTGCATGTGATTAATTAAAACAATGGTTATACAAATTATTTAAAAAAAAAATAAGAAAACGACATAAAAAAAAAAGAAAGAATAATGGGAAAAAATCTTAAGCAAAGATAGAAGAATAATTTTTTAACTTATTTTGTTGTGTTTTAAATTAATTATATTTTGTTTTGTTTCTTATTTAATTTGGTGTGATTTTATTTTATGTTTGTTTAATTTCATTTTATTATTTAAAGTATTTTTTTTAGTAGTATTAAAAATTTGGTGCAAAACGATGTTAAGAGAGATAAAATTAGACCACAACGTAGGATTGGCACGTGGAATACACGCGCGAGGTGGCGCGCGTCGAGGGGAAGGGGACAGGCGTGTCAGCTGGTGCAACAGGCGGGCCCGCCATTTTCTTATTCTGACAATCACAGCGCGACACGTGGTAGCGGTTGTCGACTACTGAGCAACGTAGGATTTTGTATTGTGTTTCTACATGAGCCCGTT